TAAATAGTCTATCTATGAACCCCACAAAGTTGGAAACTGGATTAAGGCCAAATAATAAGTGCTGGGATTACTCTTCTTAAGGATTGTTACTGTTGCCTTCAATCAAGTCGCAACATTGTGCCAAGCTCGTATAGTTTGCTGCTAAGACAGTCAAGACATGCACGCAGCTGCGCGGTTCGGCAGATCTGGAGAAGGAAGGACAATGATGTTTGCTTGCCATGCGTGTACCCTAAACCCTAAACCCTAAAATCAGCAACCACGCGAGCAGCGAGAATGTAGGTCAATTCCGTGATACCGTAATAACCTGTATGCCTAGCCTCGCGCGCATGTTGATTGAGGGGTTGGGGTTTAGGGGTTGGGGGCTTAGAGGTTGAGAGGTTGATTGAGGGGTTGGGGTTTGATTAAGGGCTTGGGGGTTTAGGTTTAAGAGGATGTGAGGTCGATTGAGGGATTGGGGTTTAGGGTTTGGGGGGTTTTATTAGGGTTTAGTAGAGGATTGGAATTTAATGGCAGCATGGTCAACTTTGGGACTTCGGGGCCAGCCTATTTTGATTCTCAAGTGGATATATAATCCTCGGATCTGCATTAACCCTTTAAGCCGCAAACCCTACCCTGCCCAGGAAAGCGATTTCAACTCAACGCACGTGGTGGGCTTCCGAAAAGTTCGAGAAGCAGCATTCGCGCCTTGTGACGCTAGTGAAAGCTGCCACGGACGCAGCCGGAAGCCAATGGAGGCAAATAACCTCCAAATGCAAGTTTGCAGAAACTTGGTTGATGAGGCCAAAACCCTAAGAAACCCAAAGCCATGAACCTTAAACCCTAAATAAAGACTAACTAACGACTAACTAGCTAAAAAAGGAAACCTTAACAACTCGAATTATATTATAGCTTTTTTGCATCGCGGTGTGGTTATTTTTTCTATTCTTTGTTTTTATAATTAGTAGTACTTATATCAAAGGCTTGTTGGTCGTTGTCATGCTAAGAAAAGCTGCAATGGTAAAACTATGCAGAAATTCAGAACCCGGATGTGCTGTTTCCTCACGAAGGAGGAGAAGGCTGATCCAGTACCATGCTCGCAATAATCAGTGTTGGCTTTTCCTTGTTTCTGGTTTTCTGCAATGATTCAGATGGGATTTAATAGTTCTAATTTGAACCTGAGACTGTAAACTGCCGTTCTAGTGCATCCAACTCAGGATCTGGCTAAGGTGTATTTGAAGTTTACGGCAAGCGGCGCATGCCGCTATCTCGCTGTGCCGAACATGCGAGCCACCGTGAGAGGATACTACGGCAAGTGATGGTGCCGTGGCTGTGGCTTCTGCTTAATTACTCTTCGGTATAGTCTTTGCTGGGAGAGAGGAAGAAATAATGCGTCTGTGATTGCTTGTTGTCTTATCTTCTTCATTGTCTGCAGAGTAGATTGGGGTGGATGAGTCCGGGTCTTACTTATTGCCCCCAAGGAATTAGTATGCAACTGTTCCCCCCCATCATCAGATCGGATTGCCAATCCACACCCAGACTAACTAGAAACCGCTCTAACCCATATTTGAGGTCTCGGGCTGAGGGAACCTTAGGCCAACTCAGGACAGGTATAAATATTCTTCTATTATATGATGGTGGGTGCGGGTGAGGGGGTGCCCCAATAGCCAGTCTGTTGCATAGTCAGGGTCTGAAAGCGGATCACCGCAACGCTCGCCCCGTGAGCAGTAGTATGCTGGATTCGGATACATGTCCAGGCCGTAGCACAACTTGAGGGATCGCCTGGTTGCCTCCTTGAAAGGTGTAGGTGGTCGTCTTTGCGGGCCACTTGGTGTAAGCTGCCTTTTCAGCTTTTGTTGAATGTCTGCAGCGTGTCCTGCTCACTTCTCGACTTGTGCTTTGCTGCCACTCTGTTGAGATCATTGCGTCTCGCATGGCTGGAGGCAATGTCCACAGGCGAGGTATCACTGGGTTTAATAAAGGTTTATTAAGGGTTTTGGGTTTTAGGGTTTTGGGCTTTGGGTTTATTTAGGGTTTTCGGGTTTAGGGTTTTAGGGTAGAGGGTTTATTAGGGTTTAATATTTAGGGGTTTAGGGTTTGGGGTTTCAGGGTTTAGGGTTTCAGGGTTTACGGTTTAGGGTTTTAGGGTTTTTGGTTTTCAGTTTAGGGTTTTGGGCTTAGGGTTTACGGAGCTGGAGTGTCAAGGGCTTGCTACACACTAAAAAAAACATATGTGCCATGCAACACAGTTATTATTAAACCAAAGCCATAAAACCTGGAGCCTGGACATCCATAACAACCGAAGAATAAGGAAGGGGTGGAAATGCAGCCTGTTGATGATTGTTGCTAGCTGGCATGTCTTCACCTCATATTAGTAGTTCAAAACGACTTACACCGCTACTTGCAAACCTGCCTAGCCTACACCCTGAAAGGAAATCAAACCTTCGCCTAGTTAGTGCAATGCGCCCTTACTTACCGCAACTCTAATTAATGTTAGAGCCTGGAACCCCAAAATAATATCCTCAAGCCAGCTACAATGCCGAAACTAAAGCTCCTCCAAAGAGAAGCAATACCTACCCAGCTGCTGAAATCCACTGAAACCACCAATTCCATTTCAAGATTATAAAAGAGAGGTTCTAAATTCATCAAGTATTCTGTCATCCTGGAAGACGACGAATGATGAATCTCAACCATACTACAAACCCCATCTGGGTCAAATGCCACTGTCATCCTCTCGCGTCGGTGTCGCTCCTGGCTGATCTAAGCGCTCGTTTCAGGCTCCAGCTTCCGGCAGCACACCGTAAACCCGCTCGCATGATGTGTAACTTCTGATAGGGTGCTTGTGTGTTGATGATCCCGGGGGACTGATCTAAAGTTATGCATATAAACCTTGACAATCCAAATGCACTTAGTGATATTGCTGATCTAAGGGTAGGGTGTAACACACCCTACCCTTAGAGCGGTCGGTGTCGCTCCTGACTGATCTAAACCTCACCCCTGAAAACGGAGAGCATGCATACGAAGGCTGATCTAAGGCCAAACATATAAAAACAAATGCGTTTAGTGATATTGCAGGTAGGTTTAGATCAGTCGGTGTCGCTCCTGGCTGATGTAAGACTAGGGTGTAACACACCCTACCCTTAGAGCAGCAATATCACTAAGTGCATTTGAATATGCAGAAAGTGTAAAGTATAACTTTTGAGCGATCGGTGTCGCTCCCGACTGATCTAAGGACCCAAAATCATGCACCAATTGCAATATTCGGTGTCACTCCATTCTGATCTGGGATACTAGCTATTGCAAACTCGGTGTTGCTCCTGACTGATCTAAGGCCATTCGGTGTCGCTCCTGACTGATCTAAGGACATTCGGTGTCGCTCCTGACTGATCTAAGACTTCATAATGAGGGCCCACTTGCTATTGGGTTAGACTATTGGGTTTGGAGCTTCCACCCCCGCCGAGCCATGGGAAAGAAAGGCGACCAGAAGGACAAGGCCGCCCCCTCGCGCCGCCAATCTTCGAAAAGCAACATCGTCGTCCCCGAGGAGACCCAGACCACGGCCGGAGTGCCCAGCGGTCTTGTACTTAGTTCGTTGCTCCGACTCACCACTTTAGTTCTGAACCTAGGAAGAATGGACACCCCCTACCCTTGCGTGTATCCCCCGGGCTGGCCTTGTGCTTCACACGCCCAGGTGCATCTTGGAATGCTGGATGCCTCGAGAACTACCACAACGCGATAGAGGAGCTTCTGGGCTACTGGGAGAACATCGTGGCTGAGGACCCACCTAGCATAGCCGAAGGAGGATCGCAGGCTGCCTCTTCTAAAATACAGTATGGAGAATGATTTCAGGGCTCTTCCAGCAGACAGAAATGCAACCCCTAACCTCAAATCGTGGGTGAAATCCCAATATGAAATCCTCAAGGTCTCTCTCAGCACCACTTAAGTTTTCTGTCTCCTTAAGAACTAGATACATACCAGGCCCACTTCGACCCCAAGATGGCCAAGATGGCCCTGGTGGACAAGGGTGTCGAGGAGAAGTACAGATGCAGCAACAACTTGTTCCGCAGCAACCTCCGTTTCAACGTGGACCCCAACGCTGCTCTACTGCATGTCCGGGAATTTACCTGAACTGCTTGGTAGTCCGTGAGTAGTAGTAGTAGTAGTAGTAGTAGTAGTAGTAGTAGTAGTAGTAGTAGTAGTAGTAGTAGTAGTAGTAGTAGTAGTAGTAGTAGTAGTAGTAGTAGTAGTAGTAGTAGTAGTAGTAGTAGTAGTAGTAGTAGTAGTAGTAGTAGTAGTAGTAGTAGTAGTAGTAGTAGTAGTAGTAGTAGTACTAGTAGTAGTAGTAGTAGTAGTAGTAGTAGTAGTAGTAGTAGTAGTAGTAGTAGTAGTAGTAGTAGTAGTAGTAGTAGTAGTAGTAGTAGTAGTTAGTAGTAGTAGCAGCAGTAAAAAGAAAACAATGGATGGTACAACAACAAGGTGCCGATCAGGCAGAGCGCAATTGACAGCATCATTGCCTACTACTATGAGCAGCCCGCCACGTTCCAGGAGACCTACGAATGCGTGGTGTCGCAAGCATGGGCAAATGATGTTTCGCGCATGAAGACCAATGCTGGTGATGTGCACCCCGTGGTCCCGGTGGAGCACATCATGGCCTTCGTCCTGTGTCTCGGCATAGGGTTCTATGTAGTAAGTGGGTTGCAGAACATGAAGTCATAACCCTAAAAACCCTAAGCCCTAAACCCTAAACCCTAAACGTAGCCATGCAAGCATAGCCTGATATCAGTACTCACTTGTTCCTGATTAACCCTAAACCCTAAAAGCTTCAACCCTTAAGAACAACCTTAATCCCCAAACCATTCGCTGAGGGCGGCGCGGAGGGACATCGGCGATGAGGAGAAGATGAAGGCGTGGAAATTCGCCTTCCTGACCGTGAGCTTTTCGTACCACGTCTGCTCCGACGCCGATGCTTTTTGGATGGCACAGAATTCGAGACTCTGGGCTGCTTTGGAGGAGTGACTAATAAATAGACATAATAAACCAAATTCCAGATGCTAGGCTGTCCAGCAGCTACTTTAAACAAAAAGAAACCATTATTGCATGTCTCCAATGCCAAGGACAGGCCAAGAAACACGCTGACATGACTATGACGCTGACATGTCTGCAGAAGATCTTCTCTGTGCTCAACCACAAAGCACGCCTGGAGAAGGCGAACGGCGGCAAGGAGATGGGCTGCCTGGCAGCTATTATTATTGGTGGCTTCGGATATTGTTGGAGATTGGCTGGGAAGGCAGGTGCAGGGTTTCAAGCTTGCAGATCCAAGGTGTGGACGAGTTCTGCAAGCTCTATGAGGAGAACTTCAAGCATGCCAACGAGAATGAGCGGGTCTTTCTCTCCTGATTTATTATAATCTTTGATTGAACCGTCGGGTGAGTTTGAATGTGGGAAATAAGAATCTCAACAACCAACCCTCAAAACATAAACATAAGTAACTAACTAAAGCCCCTAGACTAGAACTAAGCCCTGGACCCATGAAGTGTCTGCTAAATGAAGACCCAAGCTCAGGTCAGTGACAGCTTCGTGGACACCGCTCTCACAATGGGCAAGCGTGTTGCTTCTATGAATTATCAGACATACCACTTGCCTTGACTTGAGTTGGTCGTTGTTAGTGTAAGTACTATCTGTTAAGTTACTGCTACTGGCTGTGCTGAGGTCTTGAAAGACGAAAAGCTGGCCAATCTCTTGCTGAAAGCGGACGAACACCCGCGCGGATCGCCATTCGATCAGTACACTAAGTTGCAGTTGCTGATCCAGAAGGGTAAGTCTGAGGAAGGGATCCGCTGGGCTTTCTGTTCTGTGAGCCTCTGCAGCACCTGGCAAGTGTAGTCAACGACGACATAGTTTCTAATAAACTTAGTTGAAGTTGAGCGTTCTGGTCTTGTTGTTGTTGTCTTGTTCTCTGGCACATATAATATGCGGATACACTCAATCAAGCAACATTAGGTGGGACGGCTACGTGAACAAGTGGCTTGGGAGCGAGTACATGAGCCAGCGAGCCCTGAAAGGCGACACCTTTCCAGGAGGGACGGGAGGCCTCTTGATTGGCATGCTTGAAATGAAGAAAGTGCTGCTGACCAGCTCCGTCGGGCTGCTGGGATGCATGTTGCAAGGGATGCAAGTCTGAACTGAATTCTTGAACCGGGCCAGAACAGCGCACATAACACAATTTCAGGAAGTTTGCCTGGGACAACACCGTGAAGAGCAAAATGCTTGAAGTCCTGGATTCCCACGAGAGTTACCGCAAGCCAGCGCCCCAGATAGAAAGTAAGCTGTGAGCACTTATGTTCCTTAAGTCTGACAGGCACTGCGGGAACAAGGGGGAGAAGGTGGACCTCACCTGGCGTGCAGGCACGCGAACTCAAAGCAGGGCAGCTGCACGTGTCCACATGCTTGCTCTTCTGCTGGGTGACCTGCAACAAGGCTGGCCCAAATCGGCCATCATGTTCTTTGAACATGTGGAGGCCGGGAATCATCCAAGGGTAAATAACAAGGAGGAGGGACCCTTAATAATGAGGACCCCTGCTGCCTAGGTATAATACCCAATTTAAAGGGCCAGAGTCGCTACCTTAAACCCCTACAACCTAAACCCTTAAACCCCTCCCTAAAACCCTGAACCCTAAATCCTTTTCCCCTTGACATGAAAGTCAACTCGAAGCTTGAATGCGATCATCATAAATATGTCCTGTTGTGCTGCTGTGGAGGGCTGTGTAGGGTTTAAAGGCATTTAATTTAATTGGAAATCCAGTGATCTCTGCCAGGCTTGCTGTTTCACGGAGTCCTATTTGGGCACCTACAAGCAGTTGCTGAAGAACCGCAAGCAGGCTGGGTAGTAGGCGAGGGGGGTTCGTCAACAAAACATATGTGGTCTCACTTAGACAGAAGCGCAACTGCAGGTGGTTGACTGGCCGGACCACCAAGACATCGACAAGCCCCTGACGACGGCCATGGAGTCGGGATCTCAGCATGTGATGAGGCCTTCTGCCCGGTCCTTTCATGACTGCTACTACTGATGATGATGTCAGGAAGTATGAAGAAGAACAGGAGGCAGAAAATCAGCAGGCAGAGCTCGGACTGATTTCGGGTCTTTGAATAATCATCTGGATTCCTAAGAAAAGTTAAAACCATAATAATATTTAATAAATCCTAAGTAGTAAGGATTGTGCAACAACCAAAACTGTGTCTGATTCTGCAGCCCTTTGCTGATCAAGCCAAGCGGGCCTCGTCCATAATCATGCAGTGTCTGCAAAGCAAAACGAAGGCGTGCCCGCCGGTGCCACACCTTAATGGCAGATTTTTGTTGGGGCGTGGTTTTATTTAAAAACCCTAACTAAGTAAGTCAACCCTTAAAGCTAAACCCTAGAGTGCCCGAATAAACCCTCAAGTCCTGCATCCAGGATAACGTGGCGGCTACGCATTCCAGAGCCAACCAGAACAAGCAGGATGGGGCACTGAAACCGTGATATACCCGTTAATTATAATAAAGTCCGTAATTAATAGCCTACAGCCTGAACCCAGAACCCTAAACCCTAAAACGTAAACCCGTGACCCTTGGGGCTTGGTTTTATTTAAAAACCCTAACTAAGTAAGTCAACCCTTAAAGCTAAACCCTAGAGTGCCCTAATAAACCCTCAAGTCCTGCATCCAGGATAACGTGGCGGCTACGCATTCCAGAGCAGACCAGAACAAGCAGGATGGGGCACTGAAACCGTGATATACCCGTTAATTATATTATAAAGTCCGTAATCGGCCTGAACCCAGAACCCTAAACCCTAAAACGTAAACCCGTGACCCCAAACCCATGAACCCTGATTCTTGTTGTTGTTTATCCCCTACCAGGAGAACAAGGAGGTCACGGCCGATGCTGTCCAGAATGCTGATGATGATGTGAATAAGATGCTGCCAGATGCCTGGCTTTACTATTAAATTAAATAGTACTTAGAAAAATAATAGTATGCCCTAACTAAACAAACCCCTTAAACTTAAACGTCAAGTTGATAAACCCAAGGGCCCAATATATTCGTCGCCAGTGCTGCGGAGCCTCGTACAGACGAATCAGAATTTCCCGCCTGCAAAGATTCCGAAGAAACCGTCTCCTTCGGGGTCGTACTACTACAGCTCTGAGGAGTCGGAGACGGAAGATGAATCTCGGCTAAATTCAAACCCAGACACAATACTTTTAAGGGTTTCTTTGAGGCTATTATTGGGTTTCCAACTTTTGGGCTTATCAGGAGCACGGCAACCGCCTGACGCCCCAGTTCCTGAGGGACAAATTCACTGCCCTGCTCGGGGATGTGATCGAAGCAGATGAGTGAGGGCCCAAAAAAGCGCAGTCTTGCTTTGCAACTTTGCAGTGCATAATTAATTAGGGTTTAGGGTTTCTAAGATAAACTTAAATACCCCAAATTTCAACCATAAGACCTCACACTGCAGGCTTCACCGCGACATCCCTTCCCCAAGCTTACTAGACATCAAAAGATCGGCCTAAGCAGCCTATACCCTAAACCCCAAACCCCTGGAACGTATCCACCTGGCTGTGGTAGGGTAGGGTTTCTTAGGGTTTATTATGGCTTAGAGTTTTATATTGGGTTTAACCCTCATAACTAACACCGAATTAAAAGGCTTGACCCCAACACCGTGAACCCTTTCTGGATAAGATTCTGAAGTAGCCTGCGCTTGGTTGGCATAATTGCATGAACATGTGAACCTTAATTAAAAGCCCCAACTGACACCCTGCTGTTGTCAGGCCAAAGATGAAAAAGATGAGGAGGATGAAGACCAGGAGCCCGGCGCGAAAGAGGAGGAGGGTGAGCTGGCCCACCTGAAGGCGTGTGTTGATGGTGTTTGTTTGCTGGGTTTTAATAACCATTGTTGTTCTTCTTCTGTCTGTCTACTACTGATGACTTTTCTCCTCTGACGCATGTATATTGTTCCTCCTCTCACCACTCACTTGTATTTTCTTGCATTCGCAAATATTGTATCTATTATTTCTGGTGTTCTCTCAGGACCGATTGGCTTGGAGGCTTGGCTAATAATTTAATAGCCTGTGCCAACTTGTATTTGTCCTCTTGGTGCAGGCTTTCCTCTCAAGCACGGTAGACAGAGTGAGTTGTGGCTGCAGACCCCAACCATGGCACTGCAGCGCCAGAATGCCATGCGTGGGTATGCCTTGAGCGGGAGCCCATATCCGCTGTCAGGCGATGAGTCTGTGTCAACGATCGACAAAGAGGCGCTAGCAGCAGCTCCCGCCACACCTGCATCTTCACTTTCGCTGACCACAAGCTCAAACATTGCCGTGGAGATCAAGACTTATCCCGTGAGTCCCGTCAAGGTGATGAAGCGCCCTGCTGGGAAGGTCAGTCATAAAGCCCAGGACACGTCACAGCCGAAGAAGCAGGTCAAGAAAGGCAAGCCCGCGGTCAAGAAAGATGCTCATGAGAAGAAGAACTTCAAGGCGAAGAAGCGACCTGCAAGTCAGCAGCCGTAGACGATGAAGCAACTCCGATGCCAGTGGAGAGGAAAAGCAAGTTTGCCTCTGCATGCTGGGCGAGTGAGGGGTGTCGTATGACATAACAGCGATGTGCGTTTTTCTTCCTCCTGTGATTCGGATATTGAGCCAAACCTCTCTCTCTCTCTCTCTCTCTCTCCTCTGTCTATCTCTTTCTTTCTGTCGTTATCCCAGGCAAGTACACCCCAACGTCCGATGATTATTAGCCCCAGGCATACAGCTTCTTTGTTAGTAGATAAATAAGAAATTTCAATTCCACCACCGCTCTGAATGGCAGGTCAAGGCTGACAGCTCTGGAAAGGAGAAGCCCATGCCAACCCTGGATGATGAGAATGCACGGAAGCTGGCCATGCAACTGGGCAGGCATTCTAGGCAGCGTGTAAATCATGCAGGAAGACCTGGGTTAGCATCACATGTCTCTGCTTTGTTTTCTGCTGTGATGTTTTTGGATCAGTTATTAGGGATCCGAGAATGATGACATGATGATCCATGCCTAACATTCAATTCAGCGACATGACAGGATCTATGCGAGGATTGACAATCTATGATGAGAAGACAAGATGATAACAATCATGCAATGCCTGGCCTCGAGTCAAAATCTGACTTTGATCTACACGTGCATGCTAGGATACATCTTCTAACTAGGATCCTCGTCTTTTAGTTTTGTTCCTGGCGCCATGTTGGTCTTCATCTTCGAGTACGCTCACAACCAGCGAACAGGAGAGTACATGCTCTTATGGCAGGATGGCGGGGTGTCATTTTTCCGATATACCCGCAGCTTGGCTTACTCCACCGATGTTTTGATTTGCTTGGTGTCCGTCAGTGAGTAAGGCTTCTTTATTTCAATAGGGCTTTATTAGGCTTTTGTCATATGCCACCTTCAGGTACGAACCGTCCGTGCCTGGAAAGCCACGGCCGCTGGTGGCGTGATGGCAGCTCCATTGGCCTCCACTTCAGGTGCACAAGCGGAGTGCCATGGCGCAATTTGCGCTTCTTCTTTGACCAGGAAACCCGTTGCTGCTTGCTTGCCTACATGGGGTTTAGTTCGGGGTTCAGGGTAAAAATTTAAGGGCTGAGGTTTTAGGGTGCTCCTTCACTTGACATTGAGGCTGGATCTCGACTCAAGGAACCACGGTCCGAAGGATGAAGTACAAGGGCATGATGGCTTCTGATCCTTTGAATCTAGCACCCTGACAGACTCATTATGGTGGGTTTTCATCATGTTGAAAATGAAATAACAAAGGTTCTGGGTGGTTATTATCGTTTTTCATAAACCAGTAATTTGCTTTAAATCCTAGCCTATGCTAATCTCTCCAAATCCCTTCGAACAGCCCCAAACCCTATGCATTTAACACCGAGACCAACTGACCAATCTTCTAAAACCCTAAGACTAAAAAAAAAACTGAACGCTCATCAAGCAGTCAATCTGATCTGATAAAACAAGAAGAAGAACTAAGCCCTGAATGCTAAACTCCGAACCAATTCAGGATATGTCGACACGCCATATGGCGATTCTGGGGCGTCCGCAAGTCTTGGGACGTGAAGGAGAAGGAGAAGACCAAGACTATGTCTTCACGAATTTTGGTCATGTTATGCCAGCCCTTGCGGATGATGATGAT